CTCCAGCTGCGGCCTGACCAGTGCTGCATAGAGGGGGAGGATCACCTCCTTGGACCTGCTTGAGATGCATCTGTGGATGCACGACAGGGTGCAGTTGGCCTTCCTAGCCAACTATTAAAGGGAGATCCTTGATAAATGAACAAATCTCTGAAAATTCATTTCTCTCCCTGCCATAATCCTGCATAATTATGGATAAATACCAGATTTGGTAGAACATTAGACACTCAGCAGCACAAGTGGTTACAGTTTCAAGCCCTGCACCAGAAGAGAAGAAAATATTCACTGTGCTTGTTGTAATGAACAACTCAGGACATTCTCTATTTATTTGTGGGCTGCAAACCAAACTGCTGTCTGGCTGGATCTTTAGATTGGAAACCCATCAAAGAAGGGATTTTCTCTTTCTATTCTTGTGTAGTGCCCAGCACGCCAGGGCCTTGACCCTAATAGCAAAGCTCCCTGATATAAATATTTGGCATCAGTAATAGAAATAATAATGCCCATTTTTAAGGACAAGTATCCCAACTAAAACAATTTATAAAGTCTCTGGTCAGTCCTGCAGAGACAGCTGGGGCTGGCATTTTGAAACAAGCTGAAGAAAGAGGGTAAGGCTGAATGCAGCAAGGGCTTTGAAGCAAGGGGACGTGGATTAAAAATAATGATTCATAAAAGGTTTGGCATGGAGAGGTGGAATTTCTGCAATGCACAGGACAAGCTGTGCGTCTGGAGTGCACACCGGTGATCAAAGGATCCTTAATGAGTAAATTACCCCTGAGCCCAGAGAGATAGTAGGTGAGGGTGAGGAGCTCGCACTGGTGCCAGTGCAGGGTCAATGAACCACTTAAGTCTCACTTTAAGCCCTACTGGGACAATTTTACTGGGACTTAATTGGCTCCCAGGCCTCTTCTGGGGCCCCTGTTGATGAGGAAGTTTTACCCTGGCCTGGCTTGGGAGGAGGGGAGGGCAAGCATGGAGAAGGGAAGGTTCAATGCAACCTTGAGACTCTTCTCATAGAAACCACCCTCAAAGACTGACCATGGGTCCATCCAGTCCATTATTCTTTCTCCAATAAAGGTCAAGGCCAGATGTGTCACAGGGAAGCACAAAACCTTCCCTAATGCCCCTCCCCGTGCAATATTATGCTATGGAAGAAAACGGCTTGCTGACTCCATGCGGTGACCAAGTAGCACCTGAAGCCTGGGGATGGGTGGGCTGTGTAACTTTACCCAGGGCAGTGTAACCACAGATGCTAGTCATGTTTTCTTCATGCTTGGATCCAGGTTTCTTGGGGTGGATAGACACTGAGTCACAGCCCCATATGTCTTTTTCTCCTTTCACAGGGAAATGGAATAAGCCCCTTGTACCTTGCTGCATGAGTCAGAAAAGCCCAGCCCAGCAGCCTCCCTCCAGCTCGCTTTGCAACACGGCAGGAAAGGCAAAGAGAGAAAGTGAGTGCCTTACGCCAGTCTTGCCTGCTCGATCGGGTCGTAGTTGTCCAGGTAGTTGAATCGGATCGTGTCGGTTGGGTGTTTATCAGATGAGCGCCAGGGGGGCAGCTCTTTCTTATCCTTGTTCATCTTCTTCCTCAGCAATGAGGCCGACTGGAGAACCGTCGCCAGGGACAGTTTCACCTCTGGGCCCTCTCTTGCTATTGGCTGGACATCGATAACCACAAATTCATCTTTCGGAGGGGTCTGGTGGGAGATGGATAGGGAAAAATAAATCTCAGCACACAGTTACTGCCCTATGCTATTGGGCCTTGCTTATGATTAATTTAGAGTAAAGCAGGGGCTCTCAGGCTGCTACAGACATGCTCGTTCACACTGTAATTAGAATGCATTGCATCATCATCATCATGTGCATTAAACCAGGATCTGGCCCAGCGGAGCTGGATCAAGGCAAGTGAGAGAGGACTGTGGCCTGCAGTGCACAGGGGGATCTGAAGAGAAACTCATCACTGGCTGCTTTGCCCTCGTGGGTGAGCTGGAGGGTGGGGAAGAGGTGTCATGAGAGAAGTGTGATATCAGGAGAGACAGGCAGTAGTAAGACCAGTCTGGGGTCCCATAAGGCACGGGGGCGGCTAGTGACAGAAGGCTGAGCTCTGCGCACCTGTGGACTTTCTTTGTCCGAGAGGAAAGCCAGAGACCTAGAGGTCTGCTCCCCGTCCACCAGATTTCCACTTCCTCTCTCCAAACACAAGCGCGCACTCCTGCCTGTTAGGGCTTTTGGGCCCTACACACAGGCCCCTCCTGCTTGAAGTCCTCTAATGGGGACTAGAGGGCTTCTCAAATAAAACAGCCCTGGGGCATGTAGCCCAGCTCCTTTGGGGAGGAATTACAAGTCCTTGGAGACCATGTGAAAAGCCTGCTCTGCTCCCAGTGCTCTTCATGCAGTTTCTTCCAATGGCTATTTAATACAAAATGCTGAAGCAGTGTTAGGAACCAGGACTCACTCCTTCCTTGCCAGGCCTGTGTTCACCCCCCAGCCATGTAGGGTCAGAGTCTCTCTTGTTTGTTCTCTTTCTGCCCTTTTGGCTCCTTCCTTCAGGGATGCCCAGTGGCCTACACTCAGCAGGAGGTTGCTGGTGGTTAGAGCACTCGCATGTTGTATAGGAGGGCAGAGTTCAGCTCCCTTCAAGAGAAGAGAGGCCTAGAATTGGGTCTCCCATGTTCCAGCTTGTAACCACTCAGCTCCTGGGTAAAAACGCAGATGCTACCACCGCCGTGCAATTCACAGCATCAAATGATTGCTAGTTCCATTTGCTGGTGAACCACAGCAACAGAGTCACCACCCAGCCTCAGTGGAAGTAGACAGTGAACTGCTTCTGAGCATAGTCAGTAGGGCAGACTTAGTCACAGGGGAAAAAACTGGGATGCATAAGAAATGTAGATGCCTTAGCATGGTTCGGGCTCTGACTCAAGGCAAGGCGGACTCTCATTTTGTGACGGTGACACCTCAAACTGCACAAGTGCCACCTAGACACATTCCTGGCAAAGGAAAATTCAGTCCCAGTTGTCTCCAGCATGAAGACAGACGTACCTTGGGCCGTGTAATGTTAAGCTCCTTCACCATCTCGATGTAGTGTTTCTTCCAGATTCCCTGCTCAAACGGGGTCGGAGAGAAGTTGATGTACCAGCCGAAACGTAGGCACTTCAGCATCCAGAGCTGATCCAGCTCCGTCAAGTACTTCCAGTGCCAGCTCACCTGAGGAAGCCATGCAAACCAGTTACAAAAACAGACCCTCCTCCCTGTGATCCTAAAAGACATTTACCATAAGCAAGGACAGCAGCATGGTTGGAGATGCGTTCACTGTGCATCAAGTTCTCTCCTATGCAGAAGGTAGACAAGGTTCTTTGGGTGAATCTGATATCTTTTATTAGACCAACTTAAATAGTTGGGAAAAAAATTTTAAGCAAGCTTTTGGGTTCAAAAACCATTTGAACCCGAAAGGTTGCTTAAAATTTTTTTTCCAACTATTTAAGTTGGTCTAATAAAAGGTATCAGATTCATCCAAAGAACCTTGTCTGTCTATGTTGTTAGACCAACATGGCTACAACCTACACCCCTCCTATGCAGTAGGTCTTTTAGTTCCTCATCAGCCCTATAGCAAGGGTATGGGTAGCATGTATCTGATGCATGCATGTTGCCCTGGTCCTCTGCACAAGGATTAGCATCACACTATTTTAAGGATTGCTGCCTAGGATTGGCCTAAGCCAGCATCCCTGCCTGGCTGGCCTACGGCAACATCCCTGCATCGCTACCCAATGACTATATCTCAGCATCAGCAATTCCTTTGTTATTTCTACTATTTACCAAACAGAAGTAAAAAGCCCTGGTCCAAACAGCCGGTTCTGAAGGTTCTCCGCCATGTTTGCAATCTTCAGGTCTACCTCAGTATATGTTAAGTCATACAGCACTTCTCCAGGCCTAAGGCTAAAGGCAGCCTTTCTTCACTTTTCCATCTTTATAGATGGCGTGTATCCAGTGATGCCACAGGGACATATCTATCTGGTGTCCCCGGCATGTCCTGGCAGGGATACCTCCAGCAGGCCCTGTCCTCCTGCTCCCATCCACATGCCTCATACCCAGAAATGTGACAGCGAGGCTGCTCCAGGGTTGTCCACAGCACCTGCTCTCAGACGCACTGTGGACCAAAATCTCAAGAGCAACCCCATGGGTTGGTCCTGGAATGGCCTCCCCACCTGGGTTTGGAACATGCTGGGGGAGTGGGTAGGCATGGACACCCTGCAGAGGTGACATAGGTAAACCCAGACACTGCTTTCTGAGGCATGCATTTCTAGAACTTCCTGACTCTGAATAGACAACATAGTCACAACGAGCCGTGGCACCAGTCACCTTATTCAGAAACCTTTTCTTGACCATCTCTGTTCCCCCAAGCTCAGCATGCACCACAACACAGGCATTGCAAGGGATCCATCCTTTTTAAAAGTATTTGATACAGCACCTTTTTAACTATCACCCTTAGGCCAAGACATTCAAAAGTATCCGGTGACTTCAAGAACCTGACTTGAGATACTTTGAAAGGGTATGATGTTCAGAAAGTGCCAGGCCCCGGCCTGCAGATAATCAGGCCTATTAACATGGTGGGCACCTGAAAGCCGTGGTGACAAGAATCACTAGTTACTTTTGCAGATCTTGTCCATGATACGTAATGCTGCCTTAAACTGGGATCTTGGGATCATAGAATCATAGAAGTAGGGTCAGAAGGGACCTTGTAGATCTTCAGGTCCGACCCCCCCCCTTGGCAGGAGAAAACAGTGGACTCAAATGAGTCCAGCCAGGTAGGCATCCAGCCTCTTCTTAAAGTTCCCCACGGTAGGAGCCAGCACCACTTCCCTAGGAAGTTGGTTCCAGCTCCTAGCCGCCCTAACTGTGAAGTAGTTCTTGCAGATGTCTAATCTAAACCTACTCTGTAATAATTTGTGTCCATTGTTCCTTGTCATGCCAGGGGGCTCTAGGGGAAACAGTGTCT